CTATTCGGTGGGCTGACGAGAACCATCCGCGATTGAGGACCGCCAGGAGGTACGTTTCTAATCCGAAGGAGTTTCTTATCCGATCTGCTGCTGGCAGAGGTTGATTATCATCGATTTCATCCACTTTGAGGGTGTTTCGTGAACTTGAGTTTTTCCAGTCCGTTCGTGGTTGGACAGTTTCGCCACGAGGTTTGGACGACAACGATTCTGTAAGAGGATCGTTCATTTTCTTTTTTCTCTGTTTATTCGTTTCAACTGGCTGTGTGCAGATGTAGAGGATCATCTGGAGCTTTGTTTGTGGTTATGGTGCGTGTGCGTGTTGAATTGTGCGTGCGACTAGAATGATTTTGTTCTGGGTACAGGAAGACTCGTTTGATGCCTTTTCTCTGTCTAGTCGGGTCGATTACTGGTAAAATGGAACTGTTCTCGCGTGAGAAAGTATATATCTTTGCTTGGAATTGTTGCTTTATTATTATTATTCTCTGTCAGAATTTTCGTAGAATGGTACTCTGTGTCTAATGTACTCGATTACTGGTAGAATTTAACTGTTGTCGCGTGAGGTTCAAAGTGTATATCTTCCCTTAGAATTGTTACTTTGTCATTATTCTCTGGCAGCATTTCGGTAGGAGCCTGAGAGCGCAGCGGTGACAGTTATTTTGATTTAATGGAACTTCTCTGCTATCGTCGGTCTCGTCGTTAGACAAATATTTTTGGACCAAGTTCCGAGGATTCCCGTTGCCAGGTGCGCGGTGAATACTTAGAGGTGCGTAGGGTGGGTGAGGTGGGCGCAGGGAGGGATGGCGGTCGAACCGTCGCGTCTCGGGTTACCCCGTTTAATTAATGCAAAAAATTAATCGGGGCCTCTCGACTCGACGTCCGATCTTTATTAAAATTGCCTCGTGTCGATTTAACGACGTTCCGTGCCGTCTAAATTTTTCATTGTATTACATCCACGTTATGCACGGAATCGTTTACAAATATTCTACACTCGATAAAATTGATACATTGCGAGGTAATAAAGTCGGTGGGATTCATGACAAAAACGATCCTTGTTTAATGTTTTTGTGGCGCCAATATGAAGAACGAGTGGAGAGAAGAACAGTTAGTTTTGATTGAGGTGCAATATGTGCCAGTCCAAGACGGCGGAATTTAAAGCGTTAGTAGCGTTGTAATTCCAACAGTATCAGCTCGCGTGAATTTTGCGACGAGATTCGTCCATAGGCGATCGCGCAGCAAGACACCGTTGCGACGAGTATTTTTCCTCCTTCGATCGCGTTGACGCGTCACCACCAGCACACCGCAACCTGTATATCTATCCGAGTCACTATCGGATATTACTGCGCTCTCGAACCGATTTCCCAGCAGCAGCAACTGCTGTCATAGATGGGCAAATTCAGTCTTGGATGTTGTTGTTTCACTATGTATCGTTCGAACAAAATTATGCCCAACTCTGTCAGCTTTCGTTCCCATTGTGTCCCAGAGAACTCGAAAACTTGACGGTCTTCTTTAAAGCTCTCTCGTTTACGAACAATCAACAGACGGTAATTACTTAGACCCCAAGCAATATTTTAATCCCGTTCAATGTGCGTGCGCGTAGTTCGAGGAACTCGATTAAAAGTTGGCCCTGGCCAACGTGTGGTGGAACGCCTGAATTATTCACCGATCCTAAACGCGTCCGGATCATTTCTGTACCCGCGTCTGTCCACGAGAGACGGCGTTAACATTTCCGTGGCGAACGAACGAACGAACGCTTGCACATGATAGAGAGAGAAAGATAGAGAGCGTATTTTCGGAATTCCCGTTGCAACACACCAACTTGCGATGTGCGCGATAAAGTTGAATGGGATTTAAATTTAATTCGGAAATTTCGAATGGAGCTCATTTGGCGGCCCCCGGGCTGGTGGTGTCAGACAGTGTCGTTTTTCTACGGACACGACAACTTTTGTATTCTCGTTTTCATTCTTTCGCTAAGACTGGATTCTGTTATCGGATATCAGCGACATTTTTATCGAACCTATTGCTTCGGAGAGAATCTTCGTATCCCGTACTGGTTTTATGAATTTTAATACATAGCGTGGTACTTTAGTTTTATAGTATGGTTAATATAATATAGCGTGGTATTTTAGGTTTTCGCGACAGAACGAAGCCACTCGCCAAGAACGCTTTGAAAATAACACCGGTATTCTTGGGTAGTTTGCGCGGAGAAGCTGAAAACAAGTTTCATGCGAATGTGTTTGCCTGCTGGTTTCCAGGCGTCTCTCTTTCCC